GAGAACACGGCGAAATGAAAGGGAGGGCATTTCTTAGCCTGTTCCTTCTGCGGGGCCGTCTGGGGGCTGTACCTGTCACTTTTGCTCGCACCCCATTGGCCAGAACCAGGTCTCATGGCCGTGCATAGCCTTGAGGTGGGCTGGGAAAGGTCTTCATCTGGACCACGCGTTCAGCCCTAGGCGGAAGCTTAGACCTACGCAATAAGGGAAGAAGAGCTATTGGGCTGCAGTGCTCGACTTGGCCAGAGGGGGCCTACATGCTCCTGCACCCCCTCTCAGCCCCCCATTCTCTCTACTCTCCAGCTATGCTGGCCCCTTCTCTCCTTCTCAAATGCACTCAGCTTGCCCCCGGCTCATTCTCTGGCTTCCTCATCCTCCTTTTTAGGCCTCTGCTCAAGTGTTTTCTCCTTGGGGACACCTTCCAGGCCACCCAAACTGAAGTAGTCCTCAACCCAGTTCCTTCGCACCCACCATTCTTACTCTTTTCAATTGCCAGAGTGTGCTCTCACCAGAGAGAGACAGAGACAGAGAGAGAGAAAGGGAGAGAGAGGGTGAGGGAGAATTCACCCTATCCCCCCATGGAGCTTGGTCATGCCACAGTCCCTTCTCTATTTCTCCATCTTGCTGGGATTTGGGGCACACAAGCACATAAGCACACAAGCCCAGCATGTTTTTTGAACTGCTGGGGCCAGGATTCAAACCTCGTTGGCCATGTGGGATTCAGCTCCCTTAACCACTAGGCTATGGAGCTGAACCCTTTCTTATTCTAAATCCATCTTACTTATTTAGCAGCCAAGACAAGCAGCCATGGCTGTCTTGCTCACTGCTGTATCCCCAACTCCTTGAATGGAGCCTGCTGCATCATGGGTGTCGAATGAATGGATGAAAGGACGGCGAGGGGCCTGGGGAGCCATGGTCTTCCTGGAGGGACTCCCAGAAGAGGTGGGACCAGATGGTCTGACCTCTGGGTCCTCCACCCTCCAGGCGCAGGTGCTGTTCTTCCTTGTCATCATGGTGTCTTTTGCCAACTACCTGGTGGGGACACTGATCCCCCCATCTGAGGACAAGGCCTCCAAAGGCTTCTTCAGCTACCGAGGTATGTGCTGTTGCTTTGGTGACAGGGACAGACTGCCTACAAAGCTGGCCCTCTGTGAGCACCAGGCGGGTGATACCCCTCACTCCTATAGCAGGGGCTCTTAGGGTAGCCAGCCACCCACCAGAGCCCAGCAAGGGCAGGTGGTCCTAACTAGGGCTTGGTTTCCAGGGGACATTTTTGTCCAGAACTTGGTTCCTGACTGGCGGGGCACGGATGGCAGCTTCTTTGGAATGTTCTCCATCTTCTTCCCCTCGGCCACGGGCATCCTGGCAGGGGCCAACATCTCCGGGGACCTCAAGGTGAGCACACCACCACCCGCCCCGGGTCCTGGCACTGCTCCCTGCCCTATCAGGATCTGCTGCCGGGCACTGAGCTTGGCCCTGAGACCTGGGGGCAGAGCTTCTGCGGTCCAGTCCAGTCCATCCCATTCCACTCCATCGGACCCAAACCATTCCATGCGAAGGTTGCTGACTGATCCCAGCTGCGCTCTGGGCCTGGAGCCTAGTTCCTGGGACTCTCAGCCTCGGCAGAAGGTAACCCAGCTGTGACCTTCCGTAAGTCAAATTTTATTGTGGTCATCATTTTTCTTTTCTTCTTTTTGCTACAGGGAGTGTGCACTTGCCGGGGTGGGGGATGAGGAATGACTTCCCGGGGGTGTGGCCATTCTGCAATGCTCCTCTTGGGATTTGGGGATGCACGCACACACGTGCATGGCCTGGCTTGATTTTTTTTTTTTAATTTACTTATTTATTTATTTATTTTTTGGAGAGATTTTCACTGTAGGGCGCGTGCGCTCGCCAGACAGACAGAGAGAGACATAGAGACAGAAAGCGAGAAATCACCCCCCAGGGGGGATGGTCACGCCGCAATCCCTTCTCCTCCATTCTCCTCTCGGGATCTTGGGCACGCACGCACACGCGCCCGGCGTGAGTTTTAAGCCACCGGGTCC